AACTTCTCTAACCTTCTTAAAATATGGTATGGTAAAACCCATTTCTGAAGACTGTCGCGTACATATAGCCTCTCCCCAACACGCAACCACGGATCAAGTCAGGATCTATGTCTGAAGACCGAATTGTCATCATGGCATATCAACGTACGCAACCCATTCACGGTTTTAGTGTTATTGTTAAACGAACGGAAAACACGACACATTTCTTCCAGTGCCGCCTACGACGTTCCATACATAGAAACCATTACTGTATCTCTATTAGAAATAGGTATAAAGATTATAATCTGATAAGCAGTTAGACGTAAATTATAACGACATTAAAGCGTTTAAACTTCTTGAAATAAACCATTGAGCAATAAATCCCTTTTATCTTATCAAGATCCGCGCGCTTCCACTATAAATCGTATTATGTTCCAGGATATACATTATTTCAGATATATAATTATCTTTACACGCTTATGCACGAACAACAAAATGATGTAAAATCCTATCACAATTTTTATAAAATAGAACACAAGTAAAGCCTGAATCATCTAATGTACTTCTTATAACTTACACGAAGATTCACCTTGAAGACGGGAGTAGAGCCAATTCCCGAAACGTCGTGCATATCAAACCTGTCTTATGCAATGTATAGTGTGCAACACGCTGTTTCTATAATTGCGTTAATGACCCACGGTCACGATGACAAAACTAGATCCGGCCCGAGGCTACGAAGAGGTTGCCCATGCCTTCCCAGCGCATTTCGAGTTGAATATCGGATTTACCGTAATCCACGACTCAGGACCTTTTAGCATTTTACTTTCTTTGCATGATTGTACTGCACAAACGAAAGAATATAAATAAAAAGAAGACACTTTTATGGTACAACTTCTGGATTTAAAACCTTTTGCTGTAGATTTGTGTAGTAGTGAAGCATTAGTAAAAGATTCAAAAGCTGTATTTACGGGTGTGGGAACAACAGAACTCCCCGACTAATCCTGCTTCCTGGTAAAAGCTTGAGCCCGCCCGCATAACTGCATTTTGAGATGAAAGTCGACTGTGCTCCTTAGTTTGCTCTCCATGAATTGTCTGGAACCACAGTCAGACATGCGACATCAGGGCGGACGTTTTAGCTCTATGCTATAACACAATAACATTATAATAACAGGTAATGGTAAAGTTGCGTCATATTGTGATATAATAAATATATATTGTTTAAATCTTGTCCTTGTAATATTTTAATATTTAATAAGAATTTATTGTGATTAGACGGACAAAATTTAAACAATATATAACAACAGGTAAGTTAGTGCAACGTAAAAGTAAAGTTGTCTCTGATGTTTAATTAAGCACCGAACCATGAAGATGTATGGGGGGAAAGGAGGTACAGTTCCACGTATTTTTAACCTCGACTGGATGGGACCCCAAGACGTGGCGAAGACAAAAATCCAGCCGTGCTGGAAACCGAACCCCGGTCATCCATCCCGTAGCCTAGTCACTATACTGATTGAGCGATCGAGTAGTCTTAACAACCGAGTTGGAATTTGAATATGTGTTAATAGAATGACAGCTTCCCAGACAAAATAATGACTAGTTCACTTGTAGATTTACTCTCAATTCTCCTATGGTCGTGCCATAGCTCGGGCGCTTAGGCGCCGGCTTCTCACCGCGAAGACCCCGGTTCGCTGCCAGGACAGTCCACGTGGTATCTGTGGTGGACAAAGTGGCATTGGGACAGGCTCCTCCCCGAGTCATTCGGTTTTCTCCCGTCAATATCATTCCAAAACTGCTCAATATCATCTGAGGGATGCACAACGGGCCTGTTAGCCGCCACAGTTCCAAAGATACATAATCTGACCACATTATATAATAATAAAAACAATAATATGTTCTTTGACAATAAGCTCAGGGAAAGTTTAACTTTATTGTCTGTTTTATTTTATTATTAATTATTCTCCACATACTCAGAAGGTTAAGAATGCTGTATAGCTGTATTATATATTATGTTATATTTGCGCAATATTAACCAAATTGTAACAATAATGCGGTCTGAAGGAAGTACTCTTAAATCCAACCGGCACATTACGAATATACGACATTTATAAGCAGAAAATAATAACTACGTTACTTCCACTAATTACATGCAGCAGACCCCTTCCTGAGAAGTTGATATTCCCTCAGTTAATGAAGAAATTCTACGTCTCTAATGGAAACCAGAAATTCATTACCATCTTTACAAGATCTTGAGAGAGATGGATCCAGACAACATAAGAACACGTTATTTTTTTCCAAGATTCACTTTTATATCATTCTCCCATCTACAATTAGATCTCCCAAGTGAACTCTTCTCTTCAGGATTCCTGATGATATAAGTATTTTGTTAATATTTTTCATCTCTCCCATCCGTGCTACATGTCTCGCTCGCTCTATTAAAATCTGGTGTCGAGTGCAGCTCGGAAAGTTTGTCGATGTACAATTTTCTACACGTCCCATTACTTCTGGTCGGTTGCATACGCCGATTTTCATTTTTTTTTTTAAAAAAAGTGCTTGATTAAACGCAAAACGTGTGTCACACATATATAAAATAATTTTCAACAAGTTACAGATCAGATGTTTTAAAAGACGGGTGAGGAGGTCCTTGGCCGGACACACAGGTTCCCGTTCTGAAACAGATGCGAGGGTTTCTGCAGAGACACGGTTAATATTTTTAGGCTTTGCTCCAGTCGAGCAGAGACGATGTTCAATGGTTGTTTCTCTAATTCAACGGACAACATAAAAGAGTAGGGAGGTAAAGCGACACTGAATCTGATGTTCTAAAGTTTTTAATTTTTCAACATGTTTCATATCCTGTTAAGCATAAAATGCCAAAGCACTAATGAACCAGGATGGCTTTCGAGTCATGGTACAGGCAGGGATTTCTCTCATTGCTATTGCTTCGAGATCGGCTTTTGATCAGAGGCACTAGGTCACCCACCTTTATCGCAGGTCAGAGGTCAAGAAAGCGTTGATTCCTTCATTGCGAGACAAATTTTTAACATTTCACGGATGTCCAGTCCCGAAAGACTTCAAGTGAAATTCGTGGTGGACGAAGTGACACTGGGGCAAATTTTTCTCCGAGTTCTTCTGTTTCCCCCCCTGCTTATCATTATTCCACTACTGCCCCATACTCATCTATCATCGCCCCATGAGATGAGGGACAGCGCTGACCAAGCAACACATTATCGTGGATGCCTCGATTCAGAGTAATCCTAAGCGTAGTTACTTACAATATGATGTGTCGCAAAACTTACAGGTGGTAGATCCGTTTTATCTGGTTATTACTTATGAAGCGTTATTTTAATCAGGCACAGACCTAATTGTCATGTCTGCAGTTTAGCTTCTTAGTTGAGTCAGCTCTGTTAATTTACAGATCTAATTATTTATGTGACATTTAACGAACCATCTATTCGGTAGTACTCCTTGGATGTGCGATGGGTTATAAATTGGAACCACTGGTTTAGTTAAAACTTAAACCAAAGTGAAATCACTTCTAATGTAATAAATTTAACCAACTCCATGGAGCATAGTCCTTTATGATAAGCTAAGGATCGTTCAGCCAGTCAAGATGTCATCCGCCTTTGTATAATAAACATACAAATGCTTAATTAGCCACGGCTGCTGACTTGTGAATGGAGCTCACAGACATTACAGCTGGATGACACGCCAAAGAAGACATCTCCATTTTTCCAAGACGCTAACGCTACGAACTCCCACGCGGCAACTGCTCGATCTATTACTTCATTTGTAACGGTGCCATAAATCATTCTTCAAACATGAAACTTGTTGACGGATCAGACAGGATCGTAAACAAATACCGACATGGTTCAGAAATTACATAAGTAGCAATTAATATTGTGACGAACTTAATTCTGTATGCATTTGTCACCACCCACGCGCGTGATACAATTACTGTTTTAATCGGACCCACCTCAGCCTCCAAGCCTGATGATCAAGATATAAAACTACGTGATTCATTACCTGGGCCCTTTCACTCAATAAACATTTTGAATTTGGACACTGTACGAGCACACTATAAATTTCCGACGGATTAAGGGATTTTAAAAAAAAATATATGATTTTTGACCGATTGTAACAACTGGTCGAGACGTCTTTAATTAGATGAACCATCTCCCAACTATTTCTACAAGGTCGAATTTAAATTAAAGCCACAACTTACATTTGGAGAGAAACATCTTAAGAAATAAAAAAGATCTGTAGTTCTAAACGTTTATCAAAATTTGTTGGGACTACACTAGACGCTTCTGAAGCATTTTTCCTACAGTACTGCATTCTTTCTCACCACACAGCGACGCAGATAAATTAGGCTGGTGGTCCACATGTGAAACTGACTTATAATGTACTCCCACCTGCGTCTAAAGGAAATTAGAGACATTTATCTGAAACATGTACCCTAACTAACACTCATGTCTGCAGATTTTGCCATGAGCATTTTGCATTTTGCTACAGACTATCAAGATCTGACATGCAGCAATTTCAAGAACAGCGGTAAGAAATTACGTGAAGTGTGAAAAGAAATACAACGAAAAATCTTCCTATCGATGAAATATTTAACTACCATAATTACTTTCAAACACCAAGTATGTGTTTATATATATATATTCATTTGCTCGTACGTATATGATGAAGATAATGCGGTAGGAGCTTAAATGACAAATTGTGCGTTCTCTCGCTCAGATTAGGAGACGCGTACAAACTTGCTTTAACAGTCGAACCTCTGGAAACACTTTATAAACGGTTACCACGCCTTCTCACTTCCACATACCATAACCATCACGTGACAAGACAAGTAGCAGTCATTTCTTATGGCCTGAGACTTAAGGACACGAAAAAGTCAACATAATATTTTTGTTTTGTTTTGAAATATGAACCAGAAGCACGATTTCTCCTGATTATTAAGTATAAACCGTCTTCACCAATACCACTCATCATAAGCTCTGTATTTGAAAAATACAACTCACCTAATTGGTTTCGTGTCTTGTATTGTAGCCATTACCACGGCTACCGCTGTACTGGCGGGTCCCTGGAGACGAGCGAGTCCTTATTCATCCATATTAACGATTGACTTACCTACGAAAGATAAACAAAACACTGTAGCTGAGATGGTATAAAACAAGTACTTAAACTTCACAATGTTAATTTTCTCACGTCAAGGTACAATTATATTTGTTTAATTTTAACCGTCTAATCACAATAAAATATTTTATTGTGATTAGACGGTTAAAATTAAACAATTATAATCATCACAATATGACGCAACATTATCATCTAGTACAATTATCTATCACTACAAAATCTACAGTCATGGAATTTGGTACACATGTGGTTCTGTATCAATTGTCCTTGTTCATAGCAATATACTTATAGACAGATTTTTATACGTTTTCTCATCACCATCATCATCAAATGGTCGAGGAGTTGGGTCATTTTGACCCGTTCCGGCCTCGTAGTCTAAGAGTCTCTTCTGAGGTCTTCCAGGGTTTCTTCGTCCACATGGCGTCTAATTTTTTAATAATTTGGGAAGTCTGTCTCTCTGACTTCTGTTAACACGTTGAAGTCAATTGTTTTTATATTTCAAAATTATGTCTAAAATGGATTCTGTTCTTAACTCTTCAAGTACGTCTTCGTTTCTTTTATAGTCTTTCCAAGTGTAATTCCGTTTCTGTACTCCTTTTTCAATGTCAAAGTTTTCATTGCCATCGTAAAATTATGGGTAGTGCCAAAGTATTATATATTTTTATTCTAGTTTGTTTTTAAACTTTTGATGGTTTAAATATCCGCAACTTTCAGAAATTCTGAAAGTTTTACATCTATGTCTTTCTCTGCTTCATATGATAGGGAAAAACCGAGGTAATTGAAAGTATTTATTTAAAAAAAATTATAAATTAAAAACAACAGAAATATAGTACATTTCAAATTCCACAGAAACTTCTGGGCCAACTTGTACTCAAGTTCTAAAGTTTGTATCGGCTTTATGCGTCCTTGGTCAGATTACAACGAAGTGAATTAGCAACAATTGTATTACGAAATTGGGAAGTAAGTTTATTTCAGGGTGTAAGAAGCTTAATGAAAGAAAACGATCTTTAGATAAAAAGAGGAACTTGGAATCACACTCATCGGAGAAGCAAATATCAACGGACTGCCTGGTTAAACACATGGGTGTCACTTAGCGATCGTGTCAAAATAAATACATTAGCTTTGGTTTACATAAACAGAGATCAGCGTACAAAACGAGATCCTGAATCAATAGCAGTCTATTAGCGAATATGTTAAAGCCACTCAGAAGTTACTTCGAGAGATTCCACTCCTCTAGAAGTGTGAGAGGATAATAAAGCATTAGAGTACTATACAGCATTGTACACTACACTAAATCGCTCGCTAAATTTCCATAGTATAGGTCACAAGGAGAACATACAACTCTTTATTAACTTTCCGTTTTAAAAGAACTAGCACTTTTCAATTATATTTGCAGAGCTATTTAAATCTTCCCAAAGCGTCTTTAACTCTGTTTATTTTATTTCTGATTTCCATCAGTGCCAAACGTGTTTCGACCTCATGAGGTCATCATCAGTGGCAAAAACATTAATTTAATTCAATAGTCTGTCTATTAAATCATACAATTCATAAAACACTGAGCATAAATAGTTTTGTTTGTATTTATATATTTTAGGTAAGTAAGTAAGTGCCTGTCTATCCATTCACTCATCTTTATATCGATCTAACATTTATAATAAAGAAGCTTACACTTGGACACCAACACGAGCCATTTCGACGACTACTCTGTGACGTCTGAGAGTTCGTGTCATTGAACAGTGACGAAAACTAACACAGAGGCTGTATTTTACAGTACAAGAAAGATTATTTGTCAGACCTCGTTTTTTTTACAGTGACAGAATTTACACTGATATTCACGTGTCTGGAATAAATGCATGTTAAGACCAATGAGAGATGCCCATTTCGAAAACAATTGTTCTCTGCTCGACATATCAAGTCTTCGAAGTTTCTCGATCTTATGGCAACTCTCTGCACATTTTTCAACAACGAATAAAATCTCAGCATGCCCACATTTTATCTCTTCGCCAGGTAAGCTACATCTCCATGAGTTTAAATATATGATGAACCTGGTAACTGGTGGTATATAGGATTTGGGACTTTCGCGGAGAGTACAGTCAATAAAATCTTCTCTGCAGGCAGTTACACAGGCGACTTCCGAGGATCCAGTCACATCAGAACCCTGAAGATGGGGACAGAGTTTTCTCCCGAAACGTCGGTTGATTGCCCGAGAAGATTTTATTGGTGTTATATAGCTTCCTGTTACAAGTTAAGTGTGAAAGGATGGAATGTACGCGTCGTGTTCGTTGGATATTCAAGTTTACTTCCTTTAAATCCCAACCCCCCCCCCCCCCATTTCAGATGTCGTCTTGTCTGTTTATAGCACGGCTAAATCCCACGCAAGTTCTTGTAGCACAGCCAGGCCAGACCATCGCATCATCAACAGCCTTTTGGCAAGCTAGGGCCTCTGGCGGCTGAGAGCAGCGAAACCAGTAAAAAGTTGTGTGTTGGAGCCAAGCTGTCTGCGCCAAGGACAGTTCAAGGAAACTTCATTGTAAACGCAGACACCACGACCCCGTTCGCGACTCGCGTTATTGTTCCTTGTGTTTCCGGCCGGCTTTTCAAACTCATGTCACAAGTAATTTATCCTGTCTTTTAGGTTGACATAACAATCCTGAACGCGACTCAAAAGCCGGGTTAGATCATACCCCGAAGTAAATGTCATGATGGAGTCTTTGGCGCTCAGCTTTTATTATCAACATCAGAGAAAAGTAATTTATTCGACCTGGTATTAGAAACTGGGCGAGGGCATGATCTGTCATACAGTTTCCCGCGTTTTGTAAGTGCGGTTACCGACTGAATTCGCAGTGCTGATGTGTAGAAATGCGCTGGCAGAGGTTATGAGCGAGAATGTTGATTTCAGAGTGGGATTAATCTTGATCGTGCAGCTTTTCAACAAACAATACCTGCGCAGGAATTAAATAACCAAATTAAACCACATTACCAACGGCCCATGGTCGGAATTAGATCCCGAAACCTCTCAAATAAACGTCCGATACTATGTCGCAATGTAAGGAAAGGCAATGGTATAATAAACGAAAGGAAAATACGAGGGTCCAAGAAATTTGTTACAGTGTATGCGAAAGTTTAAAATCTTATCCCATTCCGTTAAGATATCTGAAGCTGCAGTCTAAAGATTAGCGTTGATTAAAAAAATAAGTTAAAGTCCTATGATTATACACCTTATCGTCTTAATCTTAGGGGTACCTGTACTTCGAAGATGGAGGCGATACGGTCCTCCGAAACGTTGGTAACCACCAACAAGGCTGCATTGCGTCATAACCCAGAGAATCAAAATCTTCATTAGGCTTTTGTACACAGGGGCGGGTTCTCCAATTTTATATTCGCGTCACTAATCCGATTTATTCCTTTAAAACACAGCGGTTACTTTTTGTAAAGTAACATTTTACAGCTCTGAATTCTTCACATGGCATTCTCCAAATATCAGCGATTACTTCCCTAAACATTGGTCTTTGTAATGAACGCGTTGTTTTCTTTGGGGAAGGAACTGATTTTTTGAGTATTACGTAGATGAATTTACTTCAGAGGTTTACGTCATTAGCAACATGACGAAGGAACTTGACATATATCTCTTGTAATTAAGTCATTCGGTTTATCTCAACGCGAAACTGGAACGGGTCATTTCAAAGATCGACTCCGTGACCGACTTGGCCTCCTATCAACAGGTACCGGGTTTTCTCCTTAGTAGTAAAATGGCGAACGCCCATTCACCTCCATCTCAGGCAGAGGTTTCGAATTCATAGAGCTAAATCTCCACTCCCCCATACGTCTGCATGTAGAGGTGCTTAGTTAAACACCGGCGACAGCTTAACCTTCACATTAGTTACGTACATGGACAAAAGAACAGACTGATCCCATAAAGAAATTTGTATGGTAAATGTAATAACGAAGGAGGGCCGATGCTTTAAGTATTTTAAAAATTCACATACAGTGACTCAAACCAGCTTGTAAATAGTATTTTGACGAATTCCTGCGTGGAATCTCAAAAAACAGAACATATTCATACAAAAAAGATCCTTAAGAGTGCCGTAAGTACACAACCAACGGCTCGCATACCCTGAAGGGATCTGTCGGGATCAATGGCGCGAAGCGGGCTGTGTAACCTTGGCGTTATTCCAGTCGACTGACTGACTGGCTTCGCCCCCTAATTTCATTCAACACCTAACCCTACTGTCGCTTTCTTTTTGACACAATACAACGACTACAAGCAGTTGCAATCTATCCTGAGGAAAACCAGCTTCTGCTAGTCTTCAATAACCCACCGGAATTGCTCGAGTTTGAATCTCGATCGTGTGTTAACGGTTGAGGTTTTCCTCAGACTCCCAAGGTGAATACTGCCTTCAAATAGGCCACTGTTACTTAATTCCATATCCTCATCTACTCTGGATTCATGATCTTCTCATCTTAATCGATCGCCACCAAACAGCGTCGTCCAGAAACATAAGACTTAGCCAATAACGTCCCAAGTTCAAATATAGGAGTGACAATTTTGTACTCATTGACCTAATCACGTTTTTGTATTTTGTCAAAAATGCAAATTACGAAACTCTTGAAGATTTCTGTCTTCTGGGTTGTTGCGCCGTGTAGTCTGGTCGATGTTTACCAACGTTTCAGAGGTCATACTGCATCCATCATCAGGGCGATGAGTATGAAGATTTCTGTCTTCTGGGTTGTTGCGCTGTGTAGTCTGGTCGATGTTAACCAACGTTTCAGAGGTCATACTGCCTCCGTCATCAGGGCGATGAATACTAAACTCTTCGTTACGCAGTTTTCTGTGCTCCCCGTCACTTCCTCTGTCTTAGGTTTCAATGTCGTTTCATCACTCCGTTCACACATTCCCTCATGTTGTATGTTTGCCCTTTAGGGTAATATTAAAACGGATGTCTACATTATTAAATTGTTTCAATATGGAAACGGTTGTACCAGTTTTTGCTTTG